TTTAAACCAATAAAATTCGGAACAAGTTCCAGCCATTGGTTTTCTACATATATTTTGAAACACATGGTTTCATACCTTAGAGCAGATATCGATCATTTGGAACAATAGCAATGGTTCAGGCCATATGAAATAAAACTTTCGAGAATTTCCTATGAAATGATAAAAAACTCATGTGAATCGCTTGAATCGTTGAAGAATTATTGCAGTTTTATTTCATGGCTGACTTTTGAGACACCCTCTACACCCAAGTAGGAATTATAAGACTTTTAAGGTGAATCGAGTAGTAAATACATATAGGCTAAACCTGATCTCCAATTCGTTATTTGAACCAAACAGTCCACGTTCGGGTTCGTATTCGATACAACAAAGTAGCTTTTTACTTGTGAGATTTCTTGCAACACATTATAAATTATCATGACTGTAAACAACACATTCAAGGGAGAATGTTAGAGCAGATTGAATCTTTGATTTTGATCGATCCAAATAGCTACAGTATACAGAAGAGAAGATCATTTAGTAGATATACCATAAAAGATGTTTGCCTATATTTCAAGGCTTTACGAAAGATATAATGAGAAGTAAATGAACAAAATGAGAAAACATTCTTAAGTATAATAATGCATCTAATGATGCCAAATTGTTTTGTCAATCTCAAATCGAATCTATAACTATAACTTTCGAATTCGATGCATGACTAGTAGTAAATCTGATGAGTCTATTGAAGACCCTCGACATTTCATTTTAGGCATTATCATATTCAGAATTTGGATTGATTTTAATTTAGTATACCTTAATTTTCTATTATTGGTCATCACGGCACTGATTGAAAGAGCAGAAAACTTAAAAATGCACATAACTTTCAATAGACTCCAACAGAAAGAGGAATAAGTAATCAGGAAAGAAAATATCATTTAATACCTCAAATGACAAGCCGTCACATCTTCCAATTGTTGGCAATTAAAGAAGATGTGCTATTTTTATAATACAAGTAAAGATTCACACAAAACTATTAATTACTATTTTCATTATAAAATAACTTCTTGTATGAACTCTTCAAAAGAAATCGTTCTTGTTTTTATTATCTAAAGAATATTTTGTAAATAAATGAAACTTTGTTTTCTGTATATACATATAATTGTAAATATATCTCTTCATTCTTGAATTACCTTAATTTTAGAAATTTCAAAATAGTTTCGATGAAAATATCAATACTGAATAATAAATATTGTTAATATACAATCATAAAAAAATTTCTTTCATTGGAGAACTCATAGTTCTGAAAAAGTTAGATAAAATGAGATAAAAAGTATTTAAAAAAAATTAAAAATTCATATGCATCGTTTTTCATTATTTCATAAGTTCAAACTTTTCAATCAAGTGACAAAAGAATCTGAAATATCGGCTAAAGATTCAGCTTTCTTCCGGATAATATCTTCTTGTCTAAAAGATCTATAACTTTCTTGTTGTCTATCACGTCCTTTTTTTTATCAAAATAAAACAATAAGTTATTATTAATACAGTGTGTCATTCTTCGAATAGTTTTAAATTATTTTTATTTTCAATAGGATCTATGATTTCGAATCTTTATTTCTTCATTTAATCATTACGTTTCAGCTAATAGCAAATGAGTCAATCGGATAGAAAATGTATATTTACATTAAAAAAAAACAACTTCTAAAAAGTAATCCTATTATAGTCTGAAGATAAAAACAAATATATACAGTGCTCATTCAAATAGGCTTTTTTTCGATCAGATGTAAATCATAATGGATATGTAGTAGGCGATTGAAATGCGTAAATGTTTTTATCTTAATTATGATATTTAAAGAGTTTTATCACAAGTAGTTTATAGTCATGGTAGACGGATTAGATGTCATGGCTTATATCAAACTTATGAATGTTTTGCCAATAGTATGTTCATAAAACAATTGAATTTAGGAAAGAAATAAATTATCATTTCATATTTGAAGAATAATCTAAAAAAACATTCACAGTATTTTCATCATTTCAAAGATATTTTAGATGATAAATAAATATACTTTAAAATCGATAGAATCTGTCATTGTTTTATTCAAGAAAAGTTTTTCTGCTTGTTTATCCAACAGATTGCTTCCGAATGAGTATTTTAATTTTACCATTTACGATGCATTTTTTTTGTTGAAATAATGGCTCTAGGCAAATTAATAAATTATTAACAGTAAAATAACAACAAAAAAATCTGTCGTTTTATTTTGTCTATGAATTATCAATGAATTTTTTCCTTTATATTCATTTTAATACTATGCTACGAGAAAATAAATTTATAGATGCTATTTTGTCCTTTTCTTGTCAAACATGAAGAAACGGATGAATTTCCGATGACAGAAATTCCTTACAGTGGGATGAACATCAGGAGAAAAGATATCGACTTTCTTTTTTTTCTTTTCTGTCTTGTTTTTTCATGTCCATTAGAAAGAATAAATCCGTACTCACTTTACTGAGAAAAGAACAAGAAAAAAAAAAAAAGGAAGAAGAAAAAAATTACGCTGAGTTATACTTCTTTGGCATTGACATTATATTTCAAGAATAACGTGACTTGTCATATTATACAACAGCAACAATGGCTAAACATTTATCTAAAGATGAGTGTAAAAAGGTACATATTTTGAAGTTTATTTTTTTTTTAATATTATCAAAGAAATATTCTTTTGTTAAATAAAATATTCAAAAATATAAGATTTTTCTGTTAAATATAGTTATTTCAACGATTTGATAATGGTAATGGAATATTATCGTTGGCTGAAGTTGATCGAGCAGTTATCCATTGGTTTCCTGAATTTGGTACTAATCGTCAGGCTATGCTTCGTGCTTTTAAAACAGCTGATACGAATGGAGTATGCCTTATGTTTTTATTTTTGTTTTTTCGCATAAAATTTATCTCTTATTAATAGACCGGATTTATTGAATTTAAAGAATTTCATCATTTAATTGATTTATTATATTATTATAATAAATTAAGTGATCTATTTGGACAATTAGATACAAATAAAGATAAAAGAATAAGTTTTAATGAATTTAAAAAAGGCCATGAACTTATTGGTCATACGAATATAGATGAAGGTCATTTAAGAGAAGAATTTAATCGTATTGATACTAATCATGGTGGATATATTTTATTTGATGAAGTTTGTTATATCTTATTTGGTTACATATCCTTAATCTTATAGTTGTTTATTCTATTTTTAGTTTTGTATCTATATGGCAAAGAAAAAAACCAAATGAAATTAATTGTTTTATTTCATGAAAAAACAAAACACATTTTTTTGTTGTATCGAAAATTTGTTGTTGTTTTTTGTATTCAGTGTAGTGAGTCATAAAATATACAAGAAAATAATACTTTCTACTTAATGTTCTATTGTTTTTTCTTATCAAGAGAAATAATCAATAAATAAAGAATAAATTCATAAAACAATTTTTACACTTATAGTACGTTTGAAATATTTATACCACATTTAATTATCAATAAATGATATCATCTTTTATATTCTTATTATCGCAAAATCTGTCGGATAAGATGTTGTATTTATTTTAATACAATTTTTTCATAGAGAATTTAGAAAGTTAGTGACGTTTTAGTATAGTTTACAGATTGAACTGAATGTTCTTTGATAAAGGAACTCTGTGAAAATGATGCTAAGTATACAATTGCATATAGAGTAATCCATGTTTAGGGAAGATGCATGATAAAAAAAAAATCATATATTTGTTGACCGTGAATTTCGTCAGAAGTTATAATAGTTTTTATATGTGGAATATATTGCAAATAGACCGAGATACATTCCTATCGATCTTGAATTGTAATAATATTATTTTCATTTGCTTGGAATCTATCTATTAATGATAAAATGCTTGTGAATCGTAGTTTTTGGTAGATGTTTCTATGGATAGCCAACCGAAAAAAAACACAAGGTTATCAGAAAATTGTTTTATCTGTAGGATTTTGTATAGCTTGTTGCGCTGATTGTTTTAGTAAAAAGAAAATATTCAAAAAGCTGCGCTATTCTTGACTGCGCCTGAGACAGTTGACGTTTTCGAGTATTTTGACCCTAGTATCTTTATTTATTGAGTAAATTTGAATATCTTTTTTTTTACCAAAATTATCAGTGCAACAAGCTCTACAAAGTTCTGTAGACGGAAAAAATCTTCTAATAAACTTGTGTTTTTTTTTGCGGTTGACTACCCATGCGAGTATCCATGAAAAATACGATTCGCAAGCATTTTACCGTTACTAATATGTAATAACAGCATGAATTCAGTTTATATCATAGAATGAGCAGAAAGAAATTCACGATTTTTTAAGATCCTTTGCAAAAGTTTTTCTTGATTTGAATCTCTATTTTGTTTTTGTAAGATCACAAAACTAGATTTTTGATATTAATGACTATTAATCAGTAATGTTCCTAATAAATACTTTCGATTCTCAAGAGTCACATTTGATAAAATTTTACTTGAATTCAAAACACTTCTGATCATGATTACGTACGCCAGAAGACATGTATAATTAATATTGACATTGAGTCTGTTCTAGAACGAATGAGAATCCATATATCAGAAAATTGATTTTATAATCCAGCGATTTATTTCCAACGCACAACAAAAACAAAAATAAATAATTCTTAAATCAACATAACTAAATATATCATTTTTATCACATAGGTTTTTTTTTTCTTCACGATTGATTGTTCGCATTTATATCATCTTTCATGTTAAACATTGTCAATTTCCTTGTATTCGAATTCTAATGTTACCAAGATCAGATAGTTGAGTAATCTAAATTTATTTAATAATAAATTTTATTCTAATTATCGAATATTTTTAAATCATTAGAGAAGATCTACTTCTACGAATAATAGATGAACAATAAGTAATGTTTTTTTCTTATTTAAGAAATTTCAATATATTTTTATTAATTAAAAATAAAGATGAAAAAATTTTGATCTTACATGCTCTAGTTTTTCTTATCATTCATAATAAGATGTATTGAATATCTTTCGAGGTCGTGTAAGATTAATTTCAACATTCATATGACCGTATGGGCACTAAAGAAATTAAAAAAAAATTAAAATTAAAAAAATTTCGTCAACTTACATGACGACATTGATTACCACAACATGTTCCTCGTTGTAAATGAGCATATCGAGTAAGAACTTCTAATTTTAAATTAGGATCGACATACATATTTTGACTATTCTAAATAATATTAAAATATTAATCAAATTCAATACTAAAATGCCTACAAGACATGCTTGACGATGAAGTAAATGAATAGAAAGTCGATCTTTTGTAAGACATGGAATAATAGTGACAGATTCCCATGCTTGCCATGCTGATCGACTTAAAGACTTAATACTAGACAGAGACGACGCCAGTTGAAACGATTTATTTAGAAAAAAAAAAGAAATCAAATGATGGCTTCTAACCACTATTCTTATTAGTTGTTAAAATGCAACAAATATTATAGATCAGTCTGTAAACAAAGAATCGACAGAGGACGCACATCAACGTATTATAATCTGAATTTTCTTTTACTTTTAATCAACAAAACAATTTTTAAATATATTCAGTTTAAAATATAAAAGAAAAATCTAAATCTAAACTGTTTAATAATGAATTGTAATGCTTGAATATTCGAAATAAATAAACTTTCTGAATTTTTTTAAAATAGGGTTTCATTTGAGATAATTATTTATTAGATTGAAATAACTTTTACTGGTTATTTCCAATTCGGGAATAAAATCATTATAGAGAGTAAAATAAAAAAGAATTAGGTGATAAAACTTAAAATAAATTAATTTGATAGAAAAGTCGTACTTTTCATCTTTATAAATAACATGAAAATCATACCTGCTGAAATCATGGTGACCAATGATTTGTCTTCTATCAAATTTTGCGTTGAATTAGAACTAAAAAGATAGAGATCAAGTTTCAATGAGCTTGGGACAATAGAATTCATAACTTGAAGGACGATGTCGGTTTAGTGAAAAAAACCGATTCAATCATTTCCAGTTCCACTGAATTAATAGATCGATATATTAAAGCTTGATTGTCTCATTTTCTTACTTTTGTTTTAATTGCATTTATGACCCTTGTTGGAATAATTACCTTTGATCAGATCCATTCTGATGACGAAAAGGTAAAAAACATAAACTTGCATAACGAATCAGTTGTCGATTGATTGTAATGAAAATCTCTCTTTGACAAACATCTATATCTTTAAAACTTAGAAAATACTTTCCATTAAAACCTTAAAATAGTCGAAGGTGGAGCTGAGCAATATATAATGTCGACATGGTTCTCATCAACTGATATATATATCGAATTGCGTCTCTTGAGTCTGATCGAACTATCCAACAATAAAATTTCATACGTAAATCACTGATATCAAAAATAGGCAAGTTACACACTTTGCATGAAATTAACATTTAGATATTATTGTTAGCCGTTAGAATATTCGTCTTACTTATAGTCGATCCATTGATTTATTGTATTTATGTCCTTGAACAGTTAACAAATCAAAGAGCGGGATGCTTTTCTTAACATAAAAAATTTCTCTTACATCGTTATTCGACATATATGAATAGGAAAGTTAATCATATTTTTATTTTACAAAGATAATAACAATATATATGTTTATCAACAGTGGATAACATTTTCCATTTGTATTTTTTGCTGGTTTAATATATAATTCATCGCTCAAGGTTTAAGAGCAAACACTGACTATTTTTGTTAACAATTAAATAATTTTTTCTTCTCCTTTTTTCCTTAATTTTAAATAAAGTTTTATCACCTACAGATGGAAAAAGAAATACAATATAATATTTTATAAAAAATCTTAAACAAAGCAAAAAACTAGTGGCGTAACTAGTAGAAAAAGTTGTGGGAAGGGGCGCTCTGAAACCCTATTTGGTTGTTCCATTACAAAAACCTCATTTCAATGTTTGTTGGTTGATCGAATTCATACGAAATGGCTAAAAATGCTCCTGAAATACTCGAACAAAGATAAAGAAACAAAATAGATAATATCTGAACTGTCAAATCTTTTTAATCGTTTTTGCTAATTGAATTGCTTGTTGTACGCGAAGTGTTTTGCCATAAAATAGACAAAAAAAAACAATCAACAGTAATGATAATAGTAATCAACATTGAAATAAATTAATGAATCTGTAGCTCCCATCTTATTATAATAACTCTGTAATATACACACCCAGGTCGAACTTACCCTTTCGGATCCTATCGGATCCGAGACAATCCGACAGTTTCCGACAGTCGGATCCAATGGGATTCCGACCGTCGGAAACCCTCATTATCCGTTAATTTCCGGCGATGTCCGCCGTCGGATTCTGTTGGATTGCGGCAACAGGATCCGATGAGATCCGATAGTCAGAAACTGTCGGATCCGATGAAAACCGATGACATCCGATAGTCGGAAATCGCCGGATCCGATGATATGAAAACATGTATTTTTGTCTATTCTAATTTGCAGAATGTGTCTAAAAAATATTTTGAATATTGTTTATGGCGAAGCCAAGGTGTCTTAGCCAAGATAACGAGTTTGATTAGCATTACTGTGCGGAGCAGGAAAATCAGATGGAGGTGTTATACTCAATGCAAAATAATGCGTGTATTTCCACGTATTATTAAATCCACTTTTAAAAGTAAATTCTTTTAAAGTTGTTCATCATTATTGTTTTTCTTACTCAGAGCTATACGAAGCAAATTTAACTTAAATAATTAAATCTTTTTTTTTCTTTTTTGCACATCAATTTCAACATTGAAATTCAACCGTAAGTATTTTGTTTAATTAAATAAATTTTTTTCTTTATTTTAGGTCAATTTGAACATGAAAATGGAACCGTAAGTATTTTATTTAATTAAATAATATTTTTCTCATTTTAGATGAATATGCACATGAAAATTGGACAGTAAGTATCTTATTTAATTGAATAATTTTTTTTTCTTTATTTTAGACCAATTTGAACATGAAAATTGAACAGTAAATATTTCGTTTAGTTAAATAAATTTTTTTCTTTATTGTGGATCAATTTCAACATCAAAATGGAACTGTAAGTATCGTATTTCTTTAAATAAATTTTTTTCTTTATTTTAGGTCAATTTCAACATGAAAATGAAACTGTAAGTATCTTATTTAATTAAATAATTTTTTTTTTCTCATTTTAGATGAATATGCACATGAAAACTGAACAGTAAGTGTCTTATTTAATTGAATAATTTTTTTTCTTTATTTTAGATCAATTTGAACATGAAAATTGACCAGTGAATATTTTATTAAATTGAATCATTTTTTTTTCTTTATTTTAGGTCAATTTCAACATCAAAATGAAACGGTAAGTATCTATTTAGTTAAATAAATTTTTTTCTTTATTTTAGGTCAATTTCAACATGAAAATTGAACAGTAAGTATTTTTTTCTAATTAAATAATTTTTTTTCTTTATTTAAGGTCAGCTTCAACATCGAAATTGAACAGTAAGCATCTTATGTAATTGAATAAATTTCTTTTCTTCATTTTAGGTAGGGGGTGCAACAAATCCTGTTTATCTGCATAAAGATTGTAAATTATCGGTATGAAACTCCCCCAAA